TTTTTACGCTATCTTACATCGCAAATTATTGTATTTATTTATTGCTAACTAACGCGAAAGGAATCTATTAGCCGGATACAAATAGCATCCTAATTAGTTCAGCGATTTACAAGTTACAAGTTCAGTAAAAGACACAGACGTATTTATAAGGAGCTACGAGTAGCTATTCTCTCGCGGTTTCACCCGCTGCTCGGCTGTATTTGATCGCAGCGTGATGTTTTCTAGCTTATAGCACTCAGGAATATTGTAGTATCAGTGAAAGAATTTTGGAAATCCGACCAGCTGTTCCAAAGATTACCACCAACATACAAACTTACAAATTTTACCTCTTTACGAGTATAATATTAGTAGACAATACTACATAAGGAAAATCAAATATCATCATCTATCATTATTTCGTGTAGTTTGCTGTTAACTTTGGAATTTTGTCAAAATCACTACTCGTAGTGTGAAACTTGGACTCTCCGGGGACAGAAGAAGGTTCAATATATGTTACAATGTTTTCAAAAAGTTTGTATAACGTAGAACTAACATTTATCACTATGAGAGCCGAAAAACCTAGTATCGTATGTACCTACTTCTGCTGAAGGTATAATTTATATTACCTTAAGAACAATTAAGTGTCTGCCTACGAATACCAGTGATTAAAGCCGTCTTAACTTCATATTAGATACAGATTTTAGTCTCATAAAACATCAAACATATAAGGAAACCCGAGATCTTGCAACTACAGAAAAATACTGCAGTCACCTTTTTGGAAGCAGTTATGTAAAAAAAATATCAAAGTATTCCTTTTTTAAAATGTTGTCATACACTATCATTTACGGAGCTTCGCACATGTAAAGGTTTAAATGAAATAACATTTTAAGTTCCTTTTCCAAATTTAAATTGAGTTCTTTTGTATCTAAATGCCACAGAATACAAAATCTTATTACAAGAGGAAAAGAGAACTAGATAATGCCTTTTTCTGCATGAAATCTTTAAATACACGTGTTGCGTCCATCCCTTAGGCCCTAGATCATCTAACTTATAGCATGTGTAACATATAAATACATATACTATATAGGTATAATGTAATGCGGTCCACATTCCAGAACATTGTAGGTATTTCTCTACATATATATATATAAGTTAGTATGTTTGGACGTAATAAATAACCTTCATCTTGTATGTAACGAGATTTTGTAAAACATATTTTCCTACTATGGAAAGTAATTAAACTTTTCGTTGCAGTTTTTTTAGTGAGAGTTCAGTTGCATGGAAGTACAATTTATCTTTATTTCATATTATAAATGAATAAGTGTGTTTCGATTTTTTTACTTCGTAATAGAGCGATTTATTTAGTAAAAGTAATTTACTTGGCAGTGCTATCATGTGTATTGATATTTCCATGTAGTGAATCGTATACATAAGTAATCTACTATTATCTAAATTGTAGGCTCAATAATGATGTTTATGTGACTAGATGTAAATAACTTTTTTGATGTTCATCTTATATGCAAAACTATGCAATAAAACTACGCAGTTATCAGAAAAACATTCATCTAAGATTCTTATTTCTCTTTTAAATCTCAAAAAAAAGAATATTAAGTATATCATTAATTAAATTAATTAAGGTGTGATTATTTTAAAGTATATTTATTGTTTTATAAGTTTTAATAATGTATCTTTAAATAAGGTAAATAAATTTATAGACAGAGCTTTTTTGAAGAATTAATTATAGTAGGTAATCTATTATCGATAATCAAAGGCCCGGTACACTACTTACTTATAAGTACCTTCTAAAGTTACGTTGTACAACGAAATTGCATTATAGTTGCTCTAAATAAAGTCTGAAATAGTTCCTAAGTCTTTTATCATATCACAGAGAAGGTTTGAGCATTAATCACCACGCTTGCTCAAGGTGGATTGGCAGGTTCAAACTTATAATAAAAAAAATATAAGCCCAGGTTTCCTCACGCAGTTCTCCTTCACCGTATATCAGTAGTGTTTTAATAAACATAGAAAGTACATACAACTCGGGAAAAGTCACATTGCTTCTTGCTAGGTTTCGAACTCGCACCCTCATGCATGAGAAGAGGGTGCCTTCAACTGCGGACCACCACAACAATTCTTTTAAATGTACAAACTACAATTAAAATAACGAACTAGGCTATGACCTACATATATGGGATGCCCTACAAAGCCCTACATCCACTATGCATATCAATGTTACATGAAAATTGTACATGAAAGGACCATGATTGGTAATTCATTTAGCGTTGTATCCATAAACCACATATAACAATACTATTGTTGATGACCAAAAATAACCATGTCAGGGTTGGATATGTATTTATGTATTCAACAGGAGTTGCGGGTCAAGCGCAATTAAGTACAATGGACGTGGCCTGGGGCAGGAGAAGGGACGGGGTGGTTTTTAGTCAATGAGAGTCTGATAACTTAGACGGGGCCCTATAGGGCTGACGTTCAGCCGAGGTTGCGGGGCAAGCGCAATGAGGCACCGCGGTCTTAACCTCGAGCGGGAGAAGGAACGGGGGTTTTAGTCAGTAAGAGTCTGACACTCCCTCGCCCGACCCTGGGCGGGCAAAGTCATTTGATGATTTTCTCCTCACAAAAAAAGAGACAGATACTCCTTCTCGACTTACCCTGGGAGAGAGAAGTTATTAAGAGAGAGGTATGAGGTACTGCAAGAGGAACTTATGAATGTTCTTAATGTTTTTTGTTGTTCATGTAATTAATTGGATCAAATCAGTATTAACATAAATTGATTAAAAAATGCGAAAAAATAGCTCATAACGAGTGCCTTGTTAGGTTTTAGTGTCTTCTTAGTGTCGAATTATTTGAAGTTTTTGCCATACGTTGTAGTTTATAGACATTCTAGAACAAATTATTACATCGTAAGTAGGTATGTAAACACGAAAGTAATACAAGTAACTGAGTGACAGCAGTTAACATAATAACGCGTTTTTACCAAAACACGTAACTGCGATGATATAACCTAATATATCGTGTTTAACCGACATTTTTAACTGGATTCGATTTCGACTGCTACGAAACAGGTTTTAAGTGGATGACTAACTCTATATTTGCATAATTATAATAGTCTCGAAAGTGTTAGTGGGATTATTTGTTTATTTTATTGCTGTATCATGCATGACTTGCATATTTGAATGAGTTTTTTTTCATTTAAAATGGCTGCTCCTTCCCTGGATTTGGCAAGAGTGTCAGACTTTTGCTGACTTAGAATCACCCCGTTTCTTTTCCTGGTCCAGGCCGGAGCTGCAATAGGTACATTAATGCACTTGCAATTCTCAGTTTTTTAAGTTTTTTTTAAGTGTGATTACAAACATAGTTTGTGATTATCATAACAAAGCACTTTTTTTTGGGTCTCGAGTGATGATAAGTCTAGAATTATGAAAGGGTTCGTGGTAATTCAATGACTCTGAATTACATAAACTCAGAAAGTCCAACATTATTTTGATTCTTTTTTTAAATCTAAAGTGGGTACTAATGGAAGTCGAAATGTCGGTGATTTCCAGTAATTTACTTACGTTGAGCAGATGGCGTTCAAATCCGTACAGTGTAAACACGCTGGAAAGGAGATTGCGAACATAACTTCGTATGTTTTCGAACCAGTTTTTTCTTCGTTTACATCGAAATGGGGCTTTTAATGACGTAAACAGCGATGTCTTTTTGGTTAAGCGGGCAAACTTATCTCAGTTTCGATTCTACACTCTGATGAAATATCATTTTCTTTTTAACAACAAGCGAAAAGTGGTTTTAACATTTAGTTCGTAATATGAAAAAAGTTAAATAGTTAAATTGTTGTGGTGGCCCGAACATTAAGGCGCCCGCTTCCCATACATTAAGACACAAAAGACATACGGTGAAGGAGTGAAGGAAAACATGGTGAAGACAACCTGGACTTATAATTTCCACATTACAAGTTTTAAATCGCTAATCCACCTTGAGCGAGCGTGGTGATTGTTGCTCAAACCTTCTCCATCCGAGGAGAGGGCTTTGCTCAGCAGTAAACACTTATAGACTGACAGTTTGTCGTGTGATGATGTGAGAAAAAGTAATAAAACTTCGAGAGTTAAAGCCAGTATTACGTAATATGAACACTAAACTTATAGTTGAGTAGCAAAGGAACACAAATTGTTGTATTTATTAAGCAGTCAGACAGGAACTTTGTGACGGGATCGAGGAAACGGCGCGTACAACTTTTCCTTCCACTTCTATCTACGATCAAGTGTCGGATATCATAATTGTAAGAGCCTAAAAAATACCGGCATTCGTAATAACTTTTACATAGCCGCCTAGGATATTCAATACTTTTTGGACTTTTAAGTGCAGAAGGGCCATACTTTAGTACGAATCGTTCGCCTCAACCGAAGTAATACCACGGCCTCTCAGATAACCGGCGTGAAGCAACCACGGCCTTCTATTTCGACGCGTGAAAGAGATTTCCGAGGGCCCAATTTTTCTACCCTATCTTTAATCCCTTCCCAATCCCAAAATCTCCGAAACCGTAATCCCAAAAAGGCCGACAACAGCCTGTTGCAACTGCTTATTGGATGGAACAGATAGGTTCAAAAAAATTATTAAAAAATCCTGTGTCATCTGATTTTGTTTATGTAATCTTTTTTAACTTTGACACATAGTTTTAAAGTTATAAGGTACATTTGGTATTATTTATTTTTACCTACTACATATTGATCTAATGATCTAATATTGCAGATATTGTTTATTCGAGACTATACTAATACATAGCGAATGGAATACTAATAAGACATGGAAATGTAAAATAAAACTGAATTTAACAAAACAATTATTATAAACATAATATAATATATATTAAGTACCATTAAACTATATTCGCTTTTCAATGTTTTCCCGGAATTATTACAAATCAGAAATGTAATTAATTTATACTTAATGGAATGTTTTGTATTCAAAATATTACATATTAACAGGTATCTGTTGTATTGTTGCAGAAAATGCGATTATTCGTCGTGATTGCCCTTTTGTCACTCTCCTTCGCCATCGTAGCCCCTACGATGGCGAAGGAGAGTGACTGGCAGCCGATCCTGCCTGATACTTCGGTGATGTTCTCCACATACCATACACCTGAAAGGTCTTTAGATAGCAGGCAAGTATTCAGACTAAAAGAAGACTAAACAAAGACAGTAAACGAAACAAAATATTCGTAGGTACAAATAGAGCTTCTTTTTTGGCTTACCGGTATCTTTTCTTCCAGTCAACAATTGAAGATTGTGAACCGAAGACCAATCCACTCACCATATGGATCCGGCAACAAAGTCAGCCTGTTCAACCCAGCGAGCCAAATGTCTGATACTTGCAGCATCCATAAGGTTTCTATGAACCAGGAGCTGTTCTTCCAATACATGGAGTATGAAAAAGAAATTCCGGATCTCAAGGAGTTTACTCTTTGCATGTGGACCAAGTTTCACAATCACTCCGGCGACCATCCTCTGTTCTCTTATGCTGGTAAGTACCATGATAGCCTATCTTATAAACTCTTTCAAAACGTTACTGTCTGACGAAGGATCGGATTAAGTCTCTCGACGAGCGATATAATCTTGAAACTGACACAAATCACAACATTATGCTGACAAAATTGGTTTTTATTGTAACCGCATGAAAGTTTAAAATCAAAAGAATATCCTAACGAACCTATCCTATCATTCAGTTTTTAAATTCCGCCTCCTTGTTTAAATAGACTGCAATATTAGGTCTAGACTGGTAAGATATTGAATATATTCAAACTCACAAAGATCTATCCTAAATAAACTTTTTATGAAACGCTTATCTTTGGTGAAGAATTCAGTGTTACTGCTTAAAGAATAAAGGTGCTGCTTTAATTTTGTGCTGACCCGTGAATGACTGAAGGTTCAAAATTGTCTGTCTATTTCAATAAGGCCTTCACCTGCGCAGAAGTACATTATTAAAATTTTATTAGGTAGAGGAGTTAAACGCGCGGGTGTGATTGAGTCACACTCATAATACAATGAAGTGAATGCTGGCTCCAAAGATTTATATGAAGTAACTGGTTAATATTTTAATTTCAAAGCTAAATAGGTGGATTGTAATAAGTTTTGTTTTGAGGGTCTTAAACTTAACTGTTTAGCAAAGGAGATATAAGTATCTATGCTATTTTAGAGTATAATTTTTTTTGGGGTAGGCCGGAAATGAACAGATGAAAAAACTCCCGGTTAGCAATCGGCGCTGCGTTAGGAAACCATGACCCTAATCCAACAATTTTGTATTTGGGTATGGGAAAAATATGCTCTATATGCTATCTAAAATACTAGTATACTATGTTAAAATTTAAGTTAACTTTAAGCTTTGATGGGTGTTAAATTTAAGTCGTTACCTTTCATAACCATAGCCGGGGTTGCGGGGTAAGCGCAATGAGGCACCGCGACCTCGGCCCAGAGCAAGAGAAGGAACAGGGGGGTTTTTAGTCAGTAAGAGTGTGACACTCCCTCCCGCCCGGCCTTGGGCGGGAGAAGTCATTTGATGATTTTCCCCTCACAAAAAAAAAACTTTCATAACCATGCAGAAAGCGCTTTAGTGTCCGAATATAAATAAGGATAAAGTCTACCAAAATATTCAATAATTTAAACTGATTTGGAGCAGTCAATACTAGTTACGTAAGAGCGATTACACACTTATGTATAAGTGCGCAAAAATGTATGATAATTGGTCGCAAGCATCCACAAGTATGAATACACATACATAACCCTTATTAATTTATATTTCTTCCTTTCTTTCATTTCGTGTTTTATATATACTTGGAAGTATCTATGTATATTTCAATATCTATACCTAGTAACTATAGATACTATTCATATTAGAAGAAGGGCATGAAAAGCTATTATGGAGATTCAAAGAAATAACAGCTTATTTTAGCTCGAATAGATACTCGCGCTGTTTTTTCTTTCATTTCATTATCGGCTAGTCTTCACGGTATAATAATTGTTGAGCTTTCATTTATTTTTCCAAGAAACCCGTTCAAAACACACAAACAGGTCTCAATTCAAAAATACTAGGAATTCACATTTTTTATATAGGTAATATTAAGTGAAAATTCAAATAGATAAAATATTCCCTTTCCACTTTTTGATTTTACGATTAAAAACGAAATGCATGGTAATTGACTAATAGGAATAGAGTGTTTTCCTTATAAGAGAGTGCTCACTTCGAAGTGTATCAAAGAGAAAAAAAAAATCTGATAAAAAAATAACTAACTCTATTAAGTTGAGAAGTCAAGGTACGAAAATAGGAAAGATGTTCTTTAGTTTTATAGAAAAAATTGAATCCAATACGCCTAAATCAAGTTTTCCTTGATTGAACAAAACCAGTCGCTATATAACCTCTTTAATATACTCAATTATATATTTTTCTTTTCAATTACCTTCAACTAACCGTATAAATTAGTAATAGTGTAATTAGCGTTTTTTTTTTTAAATAGAAAACGTTGCCCCACTTAAGAGTGTTGTCCTATGTCGTGGCTGCATTTACAAACAAACAAATTCACATACAAAATCCGTCTAGACCCGATACAATAATCTCTGTATCACACACAGATTGTTCTGTGTTCGAATCGAACCGGGCAGTTAAAAGACGAAAGCGCTAATACCTTATGGCGGATGAATATCCTGGTTACACATATGCATATATATGTACATATATCATAATAATCATACATTTACCTTAATGTTGTAACAAGATTAACCAATAGCTAGTCACGAAATACGATCACAGAGCAATTTACTTAATCAAACTTATTAGAATTACGTAACGCAGAACGCTGCAGATATAGCAGTGACAGTTCATTGAACTCTCGATATATGAAACTGGAATAAATAGTTGATATGTCGCAGATATCTTGTTTAATAAGCCATCAAAGTAACGGTCTAAGTTGGTCAATACATGGTATCGCAGTTTAGGTAGCCGTTGATTTGCGATGTCGATTCGAACTTTGAACAAGTCGCAGTTCTAATAGTACGTTTACACGCTTGCCGAGATTTAGCAAACGTTCACAAGCTCCAAGATAACGTGTAAATACATCGCAAATGCTTGTCACAAATTTCCATTGATTTGTGTGAAAAAACTTACAAGGGACCGGATCGGCGACAATCTCTTGCAAGCTCATGCAAGCCACGCTACCCTGTTCCCAGGCTTGTGAACGTTTGCCAAGTCCCAGCAAGCGCGTAAGCGTTCCATAACATTTCTATGAAATCCTTATTTAAAAGCTTTCTATCAATAACAATACGAAAGACGAGATGAAGTTAACAACAATAGGTTACAACACCCCATATCTATAACAAAGTAGGTGCGTCACAGTATCTAGAGAATCACAAAAGGAGGCTCAAGGCTCAAATCTATATTAGGCTCAATTGTTCAGAACAATACCAACACCTCGACGATATGATTCTCAATAAATAAACAAGAAGTTTGTTGTTTCATTTTTCATTGACAAGTTTACTTATACATTCTAAGCGAAAGGTGAACTCCTCAGTCTACCGAACCATCAGACTACTATTCTACTATTAGACACTACTAACCGAAATCCAGCCATGTTGCAAATGCACACAAAATAATATGAACCGCGACTCCACCTAGAGTAGAAAAAAAACGTAAAAAAGGCTTAGAGACTTTGGAGGATATTCCATCTGCAAAAAAAGTTTACTTATACTTGCTTAGTAAAATAAATACCCATTTCAATCTAACCTAAGTATAGTTTCCCGCAGTTAATTAAAACGGCTCGTGTAACAGATGTAGTTTAATATATTTCAATATGGAATCTTTATTTAATTTGCTGTAGAAAGCAAACGGGAAGTGTGAGTAACTGCTATTTATTGGTTTACTTATAAGTCTTCGGAGACAGCGGAGCGGAATGCGATTCTATTTTTAAATTTTCTCTATTAAACATTGCTGTGTTTTCTTTTTCTTGTTTATTTTTTTTACATTGGCACTTGCAGCATTACTGGCCAGTTATTCTATCTATACCTACATTCTACTTATCTTCTGATACAATTTATACATACCACAGACTTACACAAAAAAAAAAAATGTTCCTCGCTAAAGCAAATTCGCTGGTATCTAAATACCTAAATATAATAAGTGCGTTGCCCTCTAAAAATTTCTATATAAAACTACTTTATTACCTTTTAGTAGATAAGAAATTGTCAACGCTGCCAACTTGAATGTCTACCCTACCGAACAAAAAACGAAGTAATATGAAATTAAATATAGTTCAAGAAATCATAAAGCTTATAAAATAAAATCTGAAACAAATTTGAATGGTAAACGACAGTTGCTATTTTATGTAGAACAAAAATGAATAAAGAAAATTGATTCATAAAGTCGCCGAAATTTATTTACACTCACAAAAGGAACAAACCACGCGAAAATTGAACGTAACTCCTTTTGGGGAGTCAGTCATTAAAAAAACAAAATTAACAGTGCAATCACAGTTGTCAGATGACGTCAAAATAATTACCATAACTGGCTCCATCTCCCGCATATGACTCCCATTTATGGATAATTGCATTAAAAAACTGAATTTCATCTAAAAGATGTCACTACACGTCAATCGGATGGAGATCTGGTGCTTGAAATTTCAATTAGTTGGAGTAGACATGATGAAGTTGGACATACTTCAATAAAACTGATAAGCTGCCGATCAATTTACTGCAAAGTAATAGACGATATTTCAAATTCAGTAATTTTACGAGCAAAATAAATATGTACTCTTTTTAAAGATGAAGCATGTGATATCTAATCTTCCTAAAAGTATTCCCATTTGAAATAATAAATCTTCGAATATCACTTTACACTGTATTTTTATCATCATCATCAGTCCATGAGTGCCCACTGCTGAGCAAAGGCCTCTTCTCACACGGAGATGGTTTGAGCATTAATCACTACGCTTGCTCAATGCGGGTTGGCGATTTCAAACTTATAATTAGAAATTATAAGTCCAGGTTTCCTCACAATGTTTACCTTAACCGTTTGTCAGTGGTGTCTAAATAATCATAGAAAGTATATATAACTCGGAAATAGTCACATTGGTACTTGTCAGGTTTCGAACCCCTCATGAGAAGCGGGCTCTTTAACCTCCAGGCCACCACGACCTCCGTATTTTTATCATAAGTGAGTATTTATAATAAGTACTGATTTACTGACAGTTTAATACTTTATAATAAATACTGCTGCCTACTTAACCGGAACTTTTTAGGCCCAAGTTCACCAAGAATCGTTTGAATAATGATCCGAAAGCAGCTGTTCAATACACACAACAGATGTTTAACCGAGGACTGATTTTATCTTGTTCATCATCCTTGGTTTACGCTCGGATACAAAACCAAGCGATTTTAAATGATTGAATGAACATTAAGTCAATTCTTTGAATTTTAATATTACGAGGTCTTTCATCTTTTTCTTGTTTTGCAGCACTGTGGATGATGTCCAAAATTTTGCGTCAAAACAAGGATGTTAGTTGCAACCTCTTTGGAGCACGTTGTAAAAACTGAAGATATGTACGAGTACATATGTAAACCTACCTGTTTAGGTAAACCTCTTTGGATAATTGAGGTGTCATCTACATCACTCTTTGTCCTAACCAAGACACAAACACATCATACAGATGCTTGGTTAAAGGAATCTATCAGTTTACACTCCTAAACAGAGAAAAGAGAGCGGTGAACATGAAATGTACCTAACTGACTAAATATTAGCTTGGAGTTGTCATGCTCACTCAAAGGTTTCATTGGCGGTGGCACGGACACTGGATCGCTTAATTCCCAATATGCGATGCTGCTGTACGTGTCATGTTCGTGAATAGGCACCGTCAATTGAGATCGGTCAGCTCACAGCTGTTTAAATATATTGTTCTTAAGGTTATTTGATATAATCTATGGTCTAATTGACTTTAACGTAAACAGCTGATTAACAGTTTTAACGATTGGTTATGTTTCGATAAACTTGGGCCTTAATCTGTGATATCCGACTCCCATTGTAGACTGAAGAAGACTAATAAATAGTAAAATAAAAAAGTGTGTCAAGGTAGATTAGTAACAAAAAAATGAATGTTTAGGAAATCATTAAATACCGGATTTTTTTATGAGTATAGCTATACATATATGTATGTATATGTAACGATACCCGTATAACTAAGTGGTTTTTGGATATCAACCTTCATTTTCATAGTACAAAGTCTAATTATTTACTCGAATCAGAACTCAAGGACCTATTTTCATGCCAATGTAATTTTTATTTAAATAAAACATAACATTGAAATTTACATAATAGAATTACAATGGTTATTTAATTCCCATAGGAGTCAGCGAATGTGTACAATTGCACACGTCATTGTAAATAACCTGGTGATCAAATATCCGCTTTTTATATGTCGTAGACTTTTTCCGAAAATTAATCAATAATATTTTAAGCGACTTTTGATAAGGACTAATACTTTTTTTTTGTGAGGTGAAAATCATCAAATGACTTCTCCTGCCGAGGGTCGGGCGGGAGGGAGTGTTCTTACTGCGCTCTTACTGACTAAAAACCCCCCTGTTCCTTTTCCTGCTCTGGGCCGAGGTCGCGGTGCCTCATTGCGCTTACCCGGCAACCCCGGCTGAACATCAGCCCTATAGAGCCTCCTCTGTGGTGGTCTACTGGCTCTTTGAGGTGCGCGCGTAACACTACGCGCCGTACGCTCGGGTCTGGTTCTGGTCGGGCGGCGGTGGCCGGAGATCATCTCTCTAAGGACTAATACGTACGACTATTTGAGCAAGGGCAACTTTAGCACTAACTGATTAAATGTCTTTTACATAACATTTGTAGCTTAGCTTACCTACCGATGGGCGAATTCTATTATAAATAAGTGAAAAGAAGCGTTAATATTGAAACACTAACATATTTAACAATGTCTAAATATAATAAATACCTTTCTAGACTAAAAATGTTTCGCTTTAAGTGCTAAAATCTGACGTAAGTTTGATAAAACCTAGTTTTTTCGCATGTTGGGATTAAGTCTATAAAATGTGTAGTGAAGCATTTATTTTTTATATGTTTCGTTTTATTTTATAGTTGAATTAACATTTTTACACTGAAATGAATAAATATTTCACATACTAATGGACCTTTGGAATTTTCGCTGTCTAGTAATAAAAAAGTACCTTAACATCAACTGTAGTTATAATGGTTGATAATAAAATAACATTATAAAAATATTTTTTCACTCAACCGTTCCTTCAAATTTTGGGCACAAACTTTTATCAGGTGATATATATTACATATGTCACAAGATATGCGTTATTTTCGCTTAAACTTAAGCACGTTAAGGCACTTTAAGGTCAGAAAACTTGCAAAAATAATGCATCAGAATTAAAAAATCGTCAATTTTCTTTCGCATAGGTACAAACTGTTCCATATTTGACTAGTAACAAAAGTGTCCGTGCACAAAACCATAAACTAATTATTTATAAAATTTCGAGGAGTTACAGAGTTCGCAAGCCATATAGTCTATACTAATATTTATAAATTTGTAAGTTTGTAAGTCTGTATGTAGGGGGTAATCTGTGGAACCGCTGGTCGGATTGCCAAAATTCTTTCACTGATAGATAGCTACAATGTTCCTGAGTGCTACAGGCTATAAAACATTATAATACGATCAAATGGAGCCGAGCAGCGGCTGAGAGTAGCTGGCATCATATAATTTAAAAGCGATAGCAAGATCACGAGGACAAACTGTACAAAAAAGAGTAATAACAACAAAAATGTACGTGATAAAAGTTTTTATTGTTATCGAGATGCAATGCTGATTAAAATACTCAACTAAGTAGAAATATCTTTTGTTTGCAGTCGGAGAGAACCCGAGGGAGATATCCGCTTGGATATCAAACACTGAGGAGGCGAGTTATTTCAGCATGGCTGTCCATGGACAGACATTCTTCAGGCTGAATTATCCTCTAAAGCTAAACACGTAAGTACCAAAAACGCTCAGCAGTATTATTAAAATCGTTGAACAAGATAGATTTAAACCAGAACTTATGTTTATAGGATAAATCATATAGAAACATTAGTTAACAATTGAATGAATACATGAACTATTAATGGACACGAAATCGAAACGGTGACAACGACATATGAAACCAATATCTTCTCAATTTAAAATTCAATCTACATTCATGCACTCACATTTACCTCAATGCATTAACAAGTCATACAAACCGACGGAATGCTGATAAAAGGATTAGAAAGTTACACTTTCTACACACAAGCTTGGTGTCAAAATATATAATTCACGTTTAGACAATGGCATAATTAGGGACACGTGGTTTCATTGCATCCGCGATTCTTGCGTCGGTCGCCACGATGACGGTCAATCCGCGCGCAGATGCCACGCTCTGATTGGCCGCGAAATAGTTGTACATACGTGCGCCCCCCGCTAACTGCCGATTAGTAAGTCAAAGTGTTGTGCGTGTCGAATGATTACAAAAATTAGGAGTGCCACTCACTTTATTAACTGACCGTTTGCATTGATTGACGTTGTTACGCGATGCATTAATTACGTTTAAGTAGTTTTTTTTAATTAATAATTAATGTAGTTACGACTTGAAAAACTTCAATGGTTACACTATTAATCAATTTGTACACAGTTCGTTTTTTGAAGTCTGTCTGTCTATTTGTTTGACGTGTGTGTCAGGTAGCTGTCTAGTTTCTAGCACTTTTAGCACGAGCCAATGATTATATTAGCGATCACTGTCTGACGATAGTAGTAAATAAGTATTCGTAATTTTAGAACTCTCTAGAAAGAACTTGTTAAACTTTTTACATATGGGCAAACGTGACTATCATACATAATCCTTTATTACCTACCTAATACAGAAAACCAATACTACGATTCTAGAATTTACTGTAAGCTTACCTGCTTAAATCTATCAAACAAAAAAAAAACCTTGGTTATCTACACATACGATTCTTTTCCAATAACCAATATTCACGAGCATAATTGAATCAGTATTAAGCAATAAATAACCGAGAAAACCTTTGAAAACATAATTGTGTTTTATCTAATTATTACTTCCTAGGCAATATCCGATTACCAACCGCGCCCAGTTAATATGGCAGAACATAGCAATGCTTAATCCACCATTTAATTATAACCTCAAATATGATATTCTGAGGAATTCTCACCAATGGAATTCAATTAGGTTGACTGTATACTCTTTAATGTCTATGATTATTTTATCAAGAAAAACACAAACAAAAACTTTCCTATTGTAGGTTTTTTTTAACTTTATCCATTATTTACGCCTGGGTTGAATGTCAAGCATATTATTGTACTGCGGCCCCACCTTGCAGCTGGAGAAGGAACGAGGTTGATTTTTAGTCAGACGGGTTATACACTTTTTTTGTCAGGGGAAAATCATGTGATGACTTCTCCCGCCCAAAATTAGACGAGAGAGAGAGTGTCGAAGTCTTACTGACTAAAAACACCCCCCGTTCCTTCTCCTGCTCTGGGTCGAGGCCACGGTAACGCATTGCACTTAACCCGCAACCCCGGCTGAACATCAGCCCTATAGCCCGTCTGGGGTGGTCCATTGGCTCTTTGAGGCGCGCGCGCTCTTGCCCCACCCTGGGCGGGAGAAATCATTAGGAGACTTTCCCACCTCAAAAAACCAGTAACAACATGTTTATGAGTTGACAGACAATAAACATTTAGTGTTTTGGGTTTTTCTTAACGCATATATGTTTGTTGGTATAGATATAGTATAATATTGTTACGTGCCTGACGTCGCGTTCCTGACTATGCGGGCTTGGGTTACGGGATTGGATGAAATGAAACACTAATACCGGTTTTCAGACTTTCTATTGCACCTAAGTTACAGCGTCCACGGAGTTAAGTTATCGGCGTTCCTCTCCAGCAGAGTCCGGCCGACTGACACAACTTTGCCGTTCACGCTGACTTAACTCACTTAACTGACTGCACTTCACTATTTCACTGCACTTCACTATTTCACTCACTTTTCTTCTTTTTCACTTCTTCCTTTTCTTCCGAATCGCTTTAGACTTAGAACTCAACTGCCAGCGGTGAGCCGCAGTTCCGCTTATATACCCCTGGTCAGGTTCTAGAACATTCAATTTCGTTATTCTTTTTGATCGTCATGCCTCCAGAATCTTCCAATAATTTCGTTATTCATTTTTATTTATTCTTCTTCTCGCTCCTTAATTTTTCATCACTTTCACTCAAATATTCCAGAAAGTTCGACAAAACTTCCATCAACTAAAAAACTTCATGTTTACGGCGGGACTCGAACTCGGGGTCTCTGTGGTGTAATCCACACGCCTTACCGATTACACCAACTCGTGTTGACAATTCACGACGAAATTTACAATCTCTAGGCAACGTTTGACAACCATCCATTGACGTCATGATGTCAAAGAGTTTTCTGTCACACTGCCCCCCTCTTAGATTCGCTCGTCCCGAGCATCGTTGCTGCCGTAATACCTCGCCAATCTGTCTATATGGACAACTTTCAAAGGGCTCCTTGAAGACTTCCGAATTCTGTAAGTAATGTCATTGATCTTCGTGACTATCTCGTAAGGACCTTCCCAACTCGGTTGCAGCTTTGGAGATTTTCCCTTCCTTCTGACTGGATTATGAAGCCAGACCAATGACCCCTCTTCAAACCCAACAGAATTGGCTCGTCGATCATAGCGCGTCTTTGCGCGATCACTAGCTTGAAGACCGGCCTCCCTGATCTGCTCATAAATGTCCAACATTTTTGCCCTTAACTCGCTTATGTAATCGCTAAACTCGGTGCGAGAGTCACCAGGTGGACAGCCCGATACAAGATCTGCCGGTAATCTCAATTCCCTTCCAAAATTTGCAAATGCAGGCGTCTTTGCGGTACTTTCATGTACAGCAGTCCGATAGGCAAGCAAGAAGAGAGGTATGTAAGTGTCCCAATCTCTCTGATGGCTGTCAACCACCTTTGCTAAGTGTCGCTCCAATGTTTGGTTGAAGCGTTCGACCATTCCATCTGACTGTGGATGATAAGGGGTCGTTCGAGTCTTATGGATTCCCAAAAGTTTACAAGTTTCCTGGAAAACTTGGGATTCAAAGTTCCGTCCTTGATCACTGTGCATCTCCAAGGGCACTCCGAATCGAGTGAATACCTCGTTTACCAACTTCGTGGCTACAGTTACTGCCTCTTGATTCGGTATGGCAAAGACCTCCGGCCATTTTGTAAAATAATCCATAACCACTAAAACGTAGCGATTGCCCGAATCAGTGATTGGAAATGGTCCAGCGATGTCTAAGGCTATTCTCTCCCAAGGCATACCAACATTGTAGATTTTCATCGCCCCTCTGCTTCTTGTTTGTGGACCCTTGACAGCTGCACAACTAGTGCATTTCCGGCACCAATCTTCGACGTCATATTTGCAATGCAACCAATAAAACCTCTCCTTGATCTTCACCAAAGTCCTCCTAATTCCCAAATGTCCTCCAGAAGATCCATCATGGAACGCTTTTAATACATCCCTTATTTTTGAACGAGGCACCACCAATTGCAAATGCTCGTCCTTGCCGTTTGTTGATTCCCATTTCCTGCACAGAAGTCCGTTATGCAGCGTAAGGCTTTTCCACTGTGCCCATAAACCTTTCGTTACCGCGCTATATTGGGCGACGTCACTCCAACTTGGCTTGTTACCACTTCGTAGCCACTCCAGTATTGGTTTGATATCTGCATCTCTTTCCTGTTCTAATTTCATCGCATCGTCTCCCCATGCCTCGTCAACAGTATCAGTCCTTATCACCTTAAGAAAAGCAGTTTCCTTCTTGGCACAATGCTTGCAATCTTCCACGCATGGGCGTCTCGATAATGCATCTGCGTTGCCATGAATTCTTCCGCCGCGATGTTCGATTTCAAAGTCAAATTCCTGAAGTTGTTCCAACCATCTGGCTACTTGGCCTTCGGGATCCTTAAACTGAAGCAGCCATTTCAAAGCAGCGTGATCAGTTCTGATCAAAAATTTCCGTCCCAGTAAATACTTCTTGAAATGGTGCAGAGTTTTGACTACGGCCAGCAATTCCCTCCTGGTCACGCAATAATTCTTCTCCGGCTTGGATAGTGACTTGCTGAAGTAAGCAATAACCTTCTCCTGCTCACCATCGCGTTGTGAAAGGACACCTCCTATTCCAATATTGCTGGCATCCGTATCAACTACGAATATTCCTTTCGCGCTGGGGTATCCGAGAATTGGTGTGTTACAAAGCCGTTCTTTTAGTTCTCGAAAGGCTTGCTCACAATCCTCGTCCCAGATAAAGGCACGTTTCTCCTCTGTCAATCGATGCAAAGGCTTGGCAATGTCCGAGAATCCTTTCACAAACCGCCGATAATACGAGCACAATCCAAGAAATGCCCGAACTTGCGTTTTGTCTTTAGGTGTTGGCCATTCCTTAACAGCGACAGTCTTGGCTGGATCAGTCTCAATTCCTCTCTCAGAAATAACATGTCCTAGATAATTCACTTCGCGCTTGAAGAAAGAGCATTTCTTTGGACTCAACTTTAAATTTGCTCCACGCAGCTTATCGAGTACCTTTTCCAATTTCCTTAGATGATCGTCAAAATCCCGTCCAACAATGATGATGTCATCGAGGTAAACTAGGCAGGTTTCGCCCAGCAGTCCCGCCAGCACCTGTTCCATCAAACGCTCAAAGGTTGCCGGTGCATTGCATAATCCAAATGGCATCACCTTAAATTGCCAGAGTCCCTTCCCAGTTGAGAATGCGGTCTTTTCCTTGTCCTTGGGATCCAAATCCACCTGCCAATAGCCGCTTTTCAGATCGAGCGTTGAAAACCATTTCATGCCACTCAGTGTGTCAAGTGTGTCATCGATTCTTGGTAACGGGTAGCTATCCTTCTTGGTTACATCATTCAATCGTCGATAGTCTACGCAAAACCTCGTTGAACC